CAGGCCTAATATGGCAACGCAGGCCCGGCACTGCAACGCGGTGCCTGCACGACGGTGCGAGAGCGAACGCTCACATTTGTTGACAAAAGTCGGGACAAGCAGGTTTCATTTACATGAGCGGATTCAAAACCACGGGAGCGGTGCTAGCTTGTCTCACACACACACACACACACTGTATAATATAAACAACACATAACAGAAGCCTTTTTCCAAATTGGACCAGTTATTTTGTTTACTTCTCATTCCGAATGCCACGGCTGCCTCTGAGGCTCCAGGGACCTTCTGTGTGACGGGGCAGGCCTGTGACTTGAATCGGCACCGAGATGAGGGGGTGCTTTGAAGAATTAATGGGTTGCCATGGCAACTATCGCTGCAAAGAGCCCCCGGTTGGGATGCTGAGCTCCAGCGGGGCCTCTGCAGCCATTAAGCCAGCATGTCGGAGCGGAGGAGGGGCTGGCAGCGGATTAAAGCGGGCTGAGTCAATATGTTCATGTGTTTCAAGAAGAGCAACCTCTCTCGTCTAACTTCATCTATCAGCTTCTCCCTCGCTGGTGCGGTCTCACCTGACTGGATGGAGAGCGGGGCGCTGCAGGACGCTCTGCCCGCCGCGCTGACAGCTGTGACGCAGTACGACCCGGCGTGGCTCGGCCTCATCTGCTTTATCAGCAGACTGTGCTCCTCACCCGCAGCCTTCACCACATGGGAGGCATCGCTCCGTATCTCCACATTATCCTTCCTCCATGTCACTGAGGAAAACAAACACACATATTCACACCGGAGCAGAAAGAGCCAATAAAACCCTCCCACTGAAAGAACAGATATAGAGTCCAGCTTTCAGAGATGTGTCAGGACGACGCCTCTTTGTTTGAGGTTTTCACATATCTCCACAGAAAAACACCAAGGATTTAAAATTGTGAGGCTGAATTTTATATCCCCAAACAAAAAAACCTCTCTCTCTCTCGTCCTGGTGCTCAGAGAAAATGCAGAGGAGCCACAGATTCTGGTTTTAATCCTGTTCTCTGCTCCTCACACGAAACGGTTTTTATTTTAAATCTATTCAAACAACATCGTGCGACAACAATCGTCCGTTAGGGGAGGTCCATCTGCAGAGGGTTCCATTTTAAATTTGACCTATATTTTAATTAACCCTGATTTTAAAACATGCAAAAAGAAACAAACCTGCAGGTGGAGGGTTTCCAGTGACGACACATCTCAGCGTGACCTCGGAGCCGCGGGACACTGTGGTGGCTTTGAGGGGCCTCTCAAACCTCGGGGCCTCAGCTGGCTCCTCATCAGCGGACAGGTAGGAGTCATCGGATGAGGCCCCTGGAAACAACAGGTGAGGTTTAAGAGGGACTGTGTCACTGGGTTTTGTAAATGGGTCGAGCCCCAAAGTGATTTCTTTCTTTACTTCTATCAGTGAGTCTGGATCCTGCAGCAACAACATGGCCGACAAAGACGACAGGAGTTGTACAAGGAACAGGCACCATCGTATAAACTATCAAAAGCTCTACAACCATTCAAACACTCATTTAAAACGCCATCATGAAACTACTGGTTCTTCGTCATACCTTCCTCCGGAGGCCGGGGTTGAGCAGAGCGTCCTCTCTTGCGAACCCTCCGCTCTTTCCTCCTCATCCTGTCGGCAGCGCGCTCGACCTCCGTGGGTTCGTCCTCCACCACGATGGTGGGGATGTTCATTTTCAACGCAGGCGGCGTCCGCCCCACCTCCGCCTTCCTCCTTTTTGTGAGGGGGCTGACGGACGGAGTGGGTGACGGGGTGAGTCGCGGGGGCTTCGGTGGATACTGGGAGCCCGGTTCCCTCACAGCGACGAGGGGCCCCGTCTTCCCGGTAGGGCTGGGAGATCTGCGGCCCGCTTTGCTGCTCATCGCTGAATGCGTCCCCGGGCCTCTGGAGGAGGACGGCTGGGTGACAAGTGAGTCTTTGTCAGCTGCTGGAGAGCTCTGTAGTTTTTCTCTGTGTGCAAACACAAGACACCTGTTATGTAATCCTGACAACAAGCTACAGAATGAACCAGATATTTACTCAAGTGTTTGTTCTGCTTTTAATCTTTTCAGGGAAACATTTATCCCACACAGAAAATACACAAGAAGCACATTTGTTACGTTTTTGTGAAACAAAGATCTGCGAACCTGGTGAGGCTTGTTCTTGTGGCTGTTGGCAATGGTTGCCCTGGTAACTGGTGAACTGGTGCCGTCTCCATGGAAACAGAGATTTTCCCTGCGTTTCCTCGTGATGAGCCGTCGGCCGGTGTGCCCCGAGAATCTGGCTGTGTCATCCTCTCCTTTTCAGGGTCGTGACTAAGAGTGCTCAGACCGTTGCCTTGGGCCCGGGGACGAGTCTCTCCAACTTTTCCCTGCTCCGCGGCTCGCTCCCTGGCCTCCAACTTTTTAACCACTTGCGGAGGAATGGGCTCCAGTTTCCCCACGGGCAGCCTCTCTTTCTGCGACAGCTGCTCCGTGGAATACGCCTTCTTCAAGCTCGGCTTTCCCACAAGCTTCTTGATCCTCTGGAGCTCCTCGGCGAACTTGCTCTGGTAGCTCTGGACCCTCTGGGAGTAGCTCGTCTTGTCCTCTAGAGAGGAGGCCCGTTGCTTGAAAGCTTCTCGCCTCTGGAGGACTCGGCCCTCGTCCTTGCTGGGGCCTCCCGTCTTCTTTCCACCGTCGTCTGAGTCGAAGGAAGCCGATCGTCCGTTCCCTGAAGCCGATCCAGCTCCTCCTGGCACGTCCACGCTGGCCCGTCGCTCCTCAAACGCTCGGACCTTGTCAAAGATCTTGGGTCCTGCACGAGCCAGTTTGGGTGTCATGACAACACTGTTGACACTCTGATCTGAGGGCTTGGCTTGACGCAGGTCTTGGTTTGGGGTACTGCTGCTGTGTTTGTGTGTGGAGGGAGGTGGCTGGGGAGAAGACAGGGGGACACAGGAGGAAAGCCCCTGCGATTCATCAGCAGTTTGAGTCCTAGAGGGTTGAGCATTAAAGGGAAATTTAGGCAGGAAGTTAGAGCTGGTGCCGTTCCTGTGGGGGTTGGAGGTGCAATACAGGAGCAGATGAGCGTCCATTTTGTGTCAGTTGTGTTCTTGCCTTGTGTATTGTCTGTGCTCATGTGTGCCTCCGTTTTAGAGACAGGGTCAAATACAATAGCCGAGAAAAGAATGAAAGATAAAATAAGATTTCTTCAGATCTTAATCCAACTGCGGTGAAGTGGAACAAACTCTACGATAATAATAACTGTACAACATGAAGCACCCCCTGCTTTAAGTCCAAATACAAAAACATCATGCCTGCAAATCACATGATTGTTAGGGTGAGTGACAACATTCATGCTAATATTAGCTTGGATCAAAACCAGCAACCCATGCAAGCCACAGCAAACCCATAAAGATTGTGTGTTACTGCAAACGTGAGCGGCTGCTGCAGAAAATCATGCAGAGGGTAAAAAAAAAAAATAGAGTCGTCCCAGTTTCCAGAAGTGCTGAGTAATACACATCTGCAGGAATCGTTGTTAGCTTGAGATCAAACCACACTGAGTCAAAGGAAAGTGTGACATGGAAATAAAGATGGGAAGTAACAACAAGAAATGTTCAAATAGATAAAACATTTATAAATTCTGTCATGTCTCATACAATTTTTGCAAGTTGGGGACATAATGTCTGGTTTTCTTGAAATTTGGGGGCAGTCTTTTTGTTTTATGGACTCCTAAAAGAAAAAACAGCCTTGTGCTATAACGGCATGGAAAATGTTCTCCCTCTGTAGAGGCTGAACATGCTCCCATAGTAGTCGCTGCCTACAGAAACACTTTCCTCTGACCCCTGAACAGGCCGGGCCAGGTTAGCGTGAGACGCCCGGATCAGCGGCTCCACACCCAGGTGACGGACAGGGGGGGCCCCCTCGGTGGGACCCCCGCCGAGAGCTTGCCTGGCTGGGTTTGTGGGGTCCAGGTGGGGCCCCGGAGGGCGGGAGCCCAGTGTGCGGAGCTCTCGCTCCACCACGGGGTCGTAAGTGCCGGGGAGGGTGGCCCTGCGATCCGGAGCATCTGGGTTATAGTCCGTCAGCCTTCCTCCCTCACCTGGAGAGAGACACAGAGAGAGAAGCAGTTTGATAATCAGACAGGAAACGTCCTGGGAACAAGTAAGAAACAAGGTCTCTGGAGACATTTGTTTCACAATCATCGGCTCTTTTAATGATGATGATCAGACTTTTCATTTCTCTTAATTATGGACAATTAGATCATGAACGGTTCTGTCTGAGGTGTGAATATCACACTATTTAAATACATCTAGGCTTCTATTCTTTCAAATAATGATTATTAATAATAAACATTTAGTTCTGCAGACTGAATTAATCCTTTAAAGACTCAGGGAAGAAGCAGGAACATCACTAAGCATGAACAGGGCGAGATGGATGAAGAGTGTATTGATTGTTTTAAAGCAGGAAATGAAAGCGACAGCGTAAAGCTGACAGGGAGCGTGCACCACTTAAAGAGGCCCCTCCCCCACCATCGCAAATCAGGCAATGATTGACATTTTAGAGATGAGCAACAGAGACAGGAATGCTTTGGCAGCGAAAAGACGGAGCAGTCAGCATCTTCCTTTAACGACGGAAACCTTGAGACGGCGATGGAGTCGGTGATATAAAACGACAGACTCAGCGATACTGACTCAGCAACATGATCATAAAACAAACTATATCTGTTTCTCATAAAGACGAGAGTGAGATGAGAAATTCTTTGCGGAGGAGCTGCGGTGACGGCTCGAGCTTCAGAACTCCGCCGGGCCGAGGAGCAGCAGGTCAAGAAGAATTCAGCCCGCCGACACGAAAACACCGCGTACGAGCGAGGGAAGAGTGCAACGTTTGTTTGTGGCAGAGGAGAAGGGTGTCAAGATTTCTATATTCAGACTCCCTGTTGCCTGGAGAGGAAACGGGCGGTGAGGGCGAGCAGCCTCGCTGACGCTGGCACTCCAACACCACTTTAGAAAATTAGTAAAATTACATGTGGTTAGAAAACTCGTTTGATCATTTTATATAT